AACTCCTGATCCCCCTGCTCCCACAGAGTACATGTTTGTGGGTACGTGTGTGGAGTCTTCCTTGATCCCTCTCTACCTTATTCACTGAGGCAGGTCTCTCACTTGAACTCAGAGCTCACTGCTATATGGCTGGTCCGGCTTGTCAGCTTGCTGGGGATTTACAGTTCCAGAAGGGGAGTCCATGAAAGCAGGGGGAGCAGGTGGCTGAGGCAGGAAGCTGGGAGCTCACATCTTCAGCAGAGTGATCTAGAAGTGGGGTGAGGCTATGGATTCTCCAAGCCCACCCCCAGTGACGGGCTTCCTCTAGACTCCACCTCCTAAAGAATCAATGACCTCAGCAAACAGCACTGGGACAGAGTGTTCACATACTCCAGCCTATGGGGGACATTTCTCATTCAAACCACCACACCCTGCCTCTGCATGCCGAGGCTGGAATTAAAAGCTGCACTGTCACACCAACCTGGCATTTATGTGGGTTCTGGGGATCTAAACCATATAGGGTCACAACCCTGCAGTGCTCAGAGGAACAGCAGCAGGGTTGAAAAATCTTCCCAGGCCCAGGAAACGGGGCGCGGGGGGGGGGGGGGGGGGGGGTGTGCGGGATTGATGAGAAAAAATAACTCTCTAACAACCAAAAAAAGCCTATGGCAACTTGGCCTCACAGAAGACTCCTGTCCTTCCCCAGCCCAGCAGCTCTGCTGCAAAGCTGAAACAGTGTGGTAACCTCCCCGTCCTGGGCTCTCACCTGCCGCAGGAAGAGCTCTGCGCCTGCCGCCTGCCTCGGAGCCTCTGGAGCCAGAGGTGAACTAAAGCTACACCAGAGGTGAAACCGGGCTCAACTGCAGCCTGGATGGATGGGGCCAACACACCAGGCTTCGGGAGGAGAGAGCACCCCTTTCTCAAGGTAGGCAGAGCATGCTTCACGCTGTGCTGATTCTTCCTTCTCAGTGTCCACAAACACATTCAAAGATTAAGGAACACTAAACTGTGACAGCTGGGCTGGAGAGATGCTCAGTGGGTAAGAGTGTGTACTGCTCTTGTAGACGACCTGAGATCAGTTCCCAGCACCCACAATGGGTGGCTCACAACAGCCTGTGACTCCAGCTCTACAGATCTGACTCCCTCTTCTGACTTTCTGCTGGCACTAAACATATGTGGTACACATCCCCACATGCACACAAATAAAAATAAATCTTTAAAAAATGTTTCAGTGAGTAGACTCAATTGAGGCAGATCTGGAGTCAGCTTAGGCTTTTGAAATCTGGGACTTTAAAACTTGAACAGAGGGCTGGAGCAATGGCTCCGCAGTTAAGAACACTGGCTGTTCTTGCAGAAGACCCAGGTTCGTATCCCAGCACCCACATGGCAGCTAACAACTGGCCGTAACTCCAGTCCCAGGGGATCCAACAGCCTCTTCTAACCATCTTGGGCATTGCACGACACGGGTCACTGACCGACATGCAGTCAATACATGCATACACATAATATAAAAGCAATAAACTGGGCATGGTGGCACATGCCTGTAGCGTGGTCTACATAGTGAGTTCCAGGACAGGTAGTGAGTTCCAGGACAGGTGGGGCTACAGGGAGACCCTGCTTCAAAAAGACAAAATAATAATAATAATAAATAAATAAATAAATAAATAAATAAATAAATAAACTTGGACAGAAATGTAGTTTTCTAAAAGCAAACATTTATAAATAAGTGGGACATTTCACGTGAGATCTGGAAACTATTCAAAGGACTAAAGAAGGTCCTAGAGTGCACTAACATGATCTACATGAAGACTTCGATCTGAAGCAACTGGACACAGTGAAGGCAGGGATTAGGGGAATTAAGACAGAACATTTGAGGGCTAGAGAGATGGCTCAGCAGTTAAGAGCACTGGCTGCTCTTGCAGAGGACCTGGGTTTGATTCCAAGCACCCACATGGTGGCTAACAACTGTAACTCTAGTTCCAGGGGATCTGATGCCCTCTTCTGACCTCCACAGGCATTGCATGACACAGGTACACTTACATACATGCAGGCAATATTCTCATATACATTTAAAAAAAAAAAAAAGACAGGACATTTAAAATGCCAAACTGGAGCATTTGGAGGAAGAAAATGGAAAAGTCTAGAAGAAAGAACCTGAAGTTTGTGAACCACTGCAGTGTGCTCCAACCCGAGTGCTGGAGGCTGAGGAGTAGAGAGAAAAATGTGGTGAAGAAGTATTTGAAGAGTCACTTCACAGCTGATGAAATATATCGATTCACAGAGCCAAGAACCTCGGCAGACTCCAAGAAAACAAAGATGAACGAAAACCCGTAGGGGCCAGACACGCTCATAACCAAACTACAAGACAGGCAAAGGTAGAGAGCTCTTCCAACAGCCAAGGTGAAGGGGAAGTCACTAGCCCTAGACAGTGATAAAAACTGGCTGATTTCTCACCAGAAATGTGCTAAACTTAATAAGAATGGAGGAACCTTCCTTCCTTCCTTTCCTTTTTTAAAAATCTTTTTGAAACAGGGTCTCCCTGTAGCCACAGCTGGCCTAGAACTTGCTATGTAGACCAGGCTGGTCTTCATCTCACAGACATTCACCTGCCTTTTAACTCCTGAGTGCTGGGACTAAAAGTTTACACCACCTCACCCAGCTTTCGTCCTTTCTTATGTATTCCTAATCTTGGTATGCAGTGTGTGTGTGGAGGAGAGAACTGATTCCTGCAAGTTGTCCTCTGACGAGAGAGAGAGAGAGAGAGAGAGAGAGAGAGAGAGAGAGAGAGAGAGAGACTGTAATCCTAGCATTTGGGAGGCTGAGGCGGGAGGATTGTGAGTTCCAAGCCTGCCTGGGCTACACAGCGAGCCCATGACTCCCTCCCCCCACTGCCAGAAAGAAAGAAATTCTGACCCAATGCATGGGAAAACACTGAAGACACATTAAATGACAGGAGCCAGTCAGAGGAGGATAGACATCCAGTGAATCCAATTCAGGGAGAAGAGGAAAGAGGGTTGCAGGAGGCTAGGGGAATAACTTCTAGGGAAAAGTATGAAAAATTCTTTGGGATTTAGGAGTTTGCAGAGGGCAACACAAAAAAACCTGATCCAGAAGAACATTTAAATGTGAAAACCTCAAGGTGAAAAAACGTTGGGGCTGTGGAGTGGTCCAGGATCCCCCAGTGAGTGAAGGGCCTGGGGACATGACCCAGAATCCCCCAGTGAGGAGCCTGGGGCATGGCCTAAGATCTCCCCAAGGTGGTGGGAGGTGGGGCTTTGCTCAGTGGTAGAACGTAAGGCCTTAGGTTCCATTCCCAACACCAGGTTAAAAATTTATTTATTTATTTATTTACTTATTTACTTATTTATTTATTTTATATGTATGAGTGTTATGCCAGCTTGTGTGTAAGTGCACTGTGTTGTGCAATGCCTGAGGAAGACTGAAGAGGTCATCGGATCCCTGGAACTGGAGTTACAGATGGTTGTTAGCCACCATGTGGGTGCTGGAATTTGAACCTGGGTTTTCTACAAGAACAACCAGTGCTCCTAACTGCTGAGCCATCTCTCCAGTTCCTTAAAATTTCTTTGTAAAGGTTTGCTCTATGTAAGACTAAGTTAAAAAGACAAAGCACAGACTGGGTAAACTGGGTGAACTATTTGCAGCAATATAGCTGGGAAAAGGTTGGTATCTGGAATATATAACTCTCAAGGGCCAGCAAGATAGCTCATTAGGTTAAGGGGCTTCAATTCCCCAGGACCCCATGGAACGAGAAAACTGACCTCCCTATCCCAAGTTGTCATCTGACCTTTATACAAGCACTGTGACACATACACCCTCACACAATATAAATAATGTAATTTAAAATGTTTACACAAAATGAACTCTCAAGATGCAAGAATCAGAAGTCAAATAAGCCCATTGGAAAATGGGAGAGCTGGCAGGAGGTGAGAGTTAAGCAAAGATACAGATGGTCAATTCACACCTGAGATGTTTGGCACTCACAGGCCATCAAGGGTGATATAAACCAAACCAGGTCTCCCTGCCACGGCCCTGCCCAAGCCATTCCGGATGAGGCAGAGTCCTTTAGGCTGGGAGAAGCTGATTCTTTAAGCACTCAGAAGACTGAGACAGTTTTTAAAAGTAAGCTTAGGGCCGAAGAGATGGCTCAGTGGTTAAGAGCACTAGCTGATCTTGCAGAGGACCTGGGTTCAGTTCCCAGCACCCACTGATGGCTAACAATCATCTGTAACTCCGGTTCCAGGGCATTTGACACCCTCTTCTGGCCTCTTCAGGCATTGCACAACATGGGTGCTCTTACATACATGCAAGTCAAACACTCAGACACATGAAATAAAAATGAACTTAAAAACTAATTATGTAGATCTGGGGACACGTCTTACTTGGCAGAGAGCTTACTTAGCATGCACAAAGCCCAGGGTTTGATCTTTGGGAGACCAGCCTGGGTCTCATGACATGACATGTCATGTCTCTTGAGACATGACAGTCTTGTCTCAAAGCACACACAATCGAGCGTGTCACCTCAGTCGGCATTCCTACACGGTCCTGCAAGGGGAAGGAAAAGGTTCCCCTGGCCTCCCACCCACAGATGACTGGGCACTTGGCACTAAGCACTATTTCATTTAAATTCCCCACCAACCCTCAGGTCTGGGTGAGACTGGTCCCATGGCCCCTTTCACTTTTGAGTGGAGTAAACTGAGGCTGAGGCTGGAGACCATTCGTGGTTCAAGGTAGTCTGGTCCAACTAGGTCAGTGCCTTGACCTGGGGTGCAGGTGCTGAGCACCCCGTCCTCCCCTATCCTTGCCCAAGTACGTCCAGCGCGCGGGTCCGGGGCCGGCGGCGCCCAGGCGCACGGCTGCTGGTGCTGGGGCCACGTCCCTGGCTCCTTGCCCCCCACTCCCGGGGGAAGGCGCGGCTGGGGCGGTTCCGCCCGGCTCTTCCCCGCCTCCCCGGGCTTTAAGCCTCCGCGGCCTGCCGAGGGGCAGTCGGGCCGCCCGGGCGCCGGCGATCGCGCGGATGGCGGCGCTGGCGGCGCTGGCCAAGAAGGTGTGGAGCGTGCGGCGGCTGCTGGTGCTGCTGCTGGTGCCGCTGGCGCTGCTGCCGGTGCTCTTCGCCCTGCCGCCCAAGGTAACGCGGCCCCAGGCCGGGGACCCTCTCCCCGGGAGCCTGCCCGGACCACTAGGAGCGCTGGCTCCTCTCCTCCCTTCCTTTCCTCCTTGGGCACCCTCCCCAGCCCTCCGACCCTCCCCGGGTAGATGCGCTCCTTCTCTGTGCCGGGCGCTGCTGGCACATGTCCTTCCACAGTCTTAAGGAACACTTTACGAATGACAGCTGTGTGACCTGGAGCCAGTCACTTAACCTGTCTGAACGTAATGATCGCTAACCCTTAGGCTCACCGTGAATAGGGAACAGCCAATATGTTAAGTTTCTTAGAACTAAGCCTGGCACGCAGTAAGCACCTAATGGATGCCAGCTGCTTTTGCTCTGTCCTAATCTTACTGAGAGCTGCCTCCCTGCGATATCGCCTGGCCTGCATCGCTTCTTAGAAACCTTTCAGAGGCCCCTAAGAAACAGTTTTCGACTCCATTTTCCAGAGGTGACAACCAAGGCTCAGGAACAGCACTGAGGGTGCTGGTTTCTCCGAACCTGGGGGCTGAGTTGCTCCTGGAGTTCAGAGTGTGATCTCTGCAGGCTGAATATAGAGGTGAGCTCAGGGTCAGGACAGAGACCAAGGCAGAGGGGATGCAGCAGATGTCCTGTTGGATCTTAGGGGGTCCCTCACCTGTGCCCAGCCCATCTGGAGGCCCATCACACTGTCTATTCCAGAATGTTCTGGGTCACCTCAGAGAGATATTGAGTGAGCTATTCGATGTTCACAGAATAAAAGCAAAACAAAGGTGTCACTTAGCATACAGTACCCAGCAGTGAACAGCTGAGCCCTAGGGAGCTGCCTCCCCAAGGCCTCCTGGGTGTGCGGCAACAAGGAAGGGTGACCCCTGGGGTGGTTGGGTTCTTTACTGATCACTTAACTAGCCTATCAGATTCTGTTGACATGGAAGAGTTCAAATAAATAACCTAAAGAGTAAGCCACCTTTGTCAAAGGCTGTGGGCCATGGTGACCCACTGGCCTGCGACGCTCACCCAGCCTCCTTCTTCGAGTCTCACTTTCCTTGTCTTTAAAATGGAGGTGATCTCTCTGCGGGGACCTGTATAAGGGTGGTTGAAGCTGGTGCAGTTGGCTTTGAGAAGGGTGAAAGACTGAGTCAGGACACTGGTCTGCAGCCGGCAGAGCTCCAGGAAGAGGAGGTGTAGACACAGGGGCTGAGTCCCACAGGGTCACATTGCTGCCCTGTGCTCAGTCCTAGAGGCAAAATGACAAACCCAGGGGCAGATCCATGAGTGTGGGTCTGTGACGGAGTCTCTCCAAGAGAAGGGACAAGCATTAGAGACGATCCCTATGGGGCTGCGGCTGCAGCATCAGATTCCTGAGCTAGGTGGGGCAGCCCCTGTCACCTGAACTTGTGTGGATAGCAGGGAGCGTGGTGGGTGTAACAGCCTGATGAGGAAGGGTCTCGGGTCAGGCCGGGCAGCTGTCCCCCATATTGCCCACTCAAGCAGAGAAGCACCTGCATTTGCCTCCCTTTTGTGACAAATGAGGAAATGAAGGTACGGTCAGGCTGGATAACTGGCCCAAGGTACTTACAGACGTGTCCTACCCTCAACCCCTGAGCCGTATGCAGACCAGGATTGCCTGGTAGGGTCCAGCATAAAATCGAGAATTTACTTAAGCCTGGCGTGGTAGGGCATACCTTTAATCCCAGCACCCAGGAGGCAGAGGCAGGCAGATCTCTGTGAGTTCAAGGCCAGCCTGGTCTACATAGTGAGTTCCAGGACAGCTGGGGCTACAGGGAGACCCTGTCTCAAAAAGACCAAAAAAAAAAAAAAAAATCGAGAACTTCCTTAAAGCATTAGGAGATTTATTTTACCTTTTTGGTAACTTGATGGCAAGATTGTCAAGCATTTATGGAAGACAATTTCATGTTTCAATGTCGAGAGGTTGGACACACCTGGTCCAGCTGTGTGCGTGTGATGGGCTCGCCTTAGTTATATATCAGCAAGAACCACTCCTTGCTCCTGGTAGCCCCTGGCAGCTCCCTAGCAGGAACCCTTTAGGTGGCCCTAGATGTCGCAGTCTCTAAGTGGCTGACAGACTGGGGCTCTTGAGAGGCAGGTGGGTCTGCTTGGGTGGTGGTCCAATCAGAACCACAGATCTGAACATCCTCAGCACCTGACCCCTCAGGTGGCCTTCTGGAGGTCTCTAAGCATGAGACATGCTGGGGGCCACCATGCAGGTGGCATTGGACAAATGTGTTCTAGAAACCCTTAAGAAGGGGCCAGTACCAGACCAGGAAAGAAGCAGGGGAGCCTGGGCACCTGCCATTTGCTGAGTGGTATGGAGTAGGGCGGGGGGGCTGCCCCTGACTCGGGCCTCTGTCACCTCTCTCAGTCACATGCTCTGACATTCTAGGAGTCAATGGGGGGTTGTGGGAGGCTGGAGTCAGTCACAGAGAACTCTGGGAAGTAGCATTATATCTGATACTGCATCCTCTGGCAAGGTAAGGTGTGAGCAGAGAGAAAAGGAACAAGCTGGGTTAAGGCCTGGAGCTCTGTGTGAGAGTTTCCAGCATGGAACTTTGTCTTTCCATAGTCATAGGGGTGAGAGCCACGCCAGGAGTCAGCCAACTGCCTCATATTCCACCAAAGGCCATCGGTGGGGGGTGTGAGTGGTCCCGGTAGCTAGTGGGCACAGCTGGTACCATTTTAACATACTTGCAAAAAAGCCCCTGCCTGACTCAGAGTGGTTTCCTTCCCAGCCTGGGACCCACTGAGGGCAAACAGCTTTTTGTCTGCCTGATTGCCAGGAGTTCATCACAGTGAGTGTTCATAGGTGATGGCAGGGTACTTTGAGGAAGGATGGTTCTAGGCGGGACTGCTACAGGATGCTGTACAGGTTGTGCACTGAACAAGGTGTAACTGAGGCTAGACCAACCTTCCCATGCCAAGCTGTGCCTTAGTCATGGCTGGATCCACTTAGGGAAGACCCCCCTTTTTGAATTTGCACAGAGGTGTTCTCTGTGCAGAGTTGTCCCGGGTGGAGATATTTTTAGGGACTGTACCTGTAAGCTCAGAGGCCCCCTTTCTTCTGTATGCCTTAGATAAGTAGGTGACCAGGACAAAGGCATTTCCTTCCCAGTAGGGGATTTGAAATCAGAATTGGACTCTTATCCCATAGACCTTCTCTGTGACCAGGGGTCATTGACTCCTCTGGACCTATGTTTCAACATGGCCAGAATACCATCTCCCTTCCTGATTATCATTCAGGCCCATGACATAATGTAACATGCCTGCACTGAACATTCTGATTTTTAAATTCAGCATTCATGAATGACTTCAGTGCGCCCATTTTTCAGATGAGGGACACTGAGGTTCTGAGAAGATTAAGTGATAGGATCAGGAGCCTGAGTTGAGCAGACCTGGTTTGGGTCTTGGCTCAGAAACAAGGAAAAGAGGGGTCTCCCAGTAGGAGATGAAGTTTTGGAGCCTCAGTTTCCTTCTTTGGGAATTTGGGGGCTCCCTGTCTCAACAGGCTGTGAGTGGAATTCACAGAAGGCACAGATTTTGTGCAGGGCTGTGCACAGGTGGGACACTCACCATCCTAACCACAGCCAGCACCCCCCAGTCCTTGTGCTTGGCTGGCACAGCTCAGCTCTGGTGCTTCCCACAGCAGCATTAAGAAGCGTGAACAGCTGGGCATGGTGGCGTACACCTTTAATCACAGTAATTGGGAGGTAGAGGCGGGTGGATCTCTGTGAGTTCGAGACCTATGTAGTGTGGTCTACATAGTGAGCTCTGGGACAGCCAGTGGCATATAATGAGACCCCATCTCAAAGAAAAAAAATCAAAATAGCAGAAACAATGTCAGTCCTCATCCTCACAGATGGAGGGGGCCACAGAGAAGGTGAATCATGGTCCTGAGGTCACACAGCCACCCAACTTCACCCCAGTGCCTCTCCCTCCTCTCTTGACCGTGGGCTTTGGAAGACAAGGTGGCCATGTTATGCAAGGCCCTCATGGGAATTCCTGGGAAAACCCTGGGAGTCCAGCTTTGAGAATTAATCAGCTCCTGCTACAGCCATGCCCTACCTAGCGCTTTGAACTTCCAGCATCTCACTGAAGCCCAGAGAAGGCTGCGGGTATGCCTCAGTGGATAAAGCTCATGGGGTCCTGTGCATGAGGATCTGAGTTTATTGCCCCATGTAGCAATGTGGGACGTGATGGTTAGTGCTTGTAGCCCCAGCACGGAGGGAGGCAGAGACAGAAGGCTCCCTGGAGCTCACTGGCCAGTCAAGAACTAGTGAGCTCCAGGCCAGTGAGAGATCCTGTCTCAAAGGAGGTGGGCAGAGTTCCTGAGGATGACACCCACCTTGGCCTCCACTCCACACACACATACATGTACACCCACATCCAAATGTGCACCTGCATACACACACACACACACACACACACACACACACACACACATGTGCACACACATATACATACAAAGTAGACAGTGAATCCCAGAGATCTGGGAGTGGGGTCTGACTTTATCCCATCATCCACAGGCCGCCATGGCAACCTCACTGGTCCCCCACCGCTCCCTTATTAATTTTGTTCTTATTTTCACTCTTTTTTTTTCACTCAGATTCCTTACTGTCCTCCATTCCTGTTTAGAGAACTTAAATACACTGAATTATGGAGGAGCCTTTATGTAGATTCTGAATGTGAATGAGAAGGAACAACACACCTAGACTCCCAGGCCAGGTTGATCCTGGTGACGATGGCACCTCCCTGAAGCCCAGGGCCTTGTGGGATGCGAAGTCATTAGGAGAGGTGGCAGACACATGCCAGTGCCAGGCCCAGACTTAGTTTAGGAAGTAATAGGAGGGAGGAAGAAACTGGCAAGGGGGTTAGCTTCTGTGCCCCGTCCAGTCTTCTGTGCCGGCTTTTTGCTTTTCATATGCTGGCCTGGTCTCCTGCCCCACTGGGTGACCATGAGGGCGCTGGCAGGCCTGGCTGCTCATTGT